GTAAAAAAGGGAAGAGGGGCTGTCCATCAAAACACAGACTGGAATTTCTTGGGTCAAGGAGGAGTGAAGACCATCTGCAGTGCCAGGGCTCTGACATAAGCGACAGCTTGGTTTCTCAAAGTTTTGAGAACTGGATCCATACTTTTATTGAAACACGTTGTAATGTAGCTTGTTTTGTTTGTGTTGAGGCACAGAAAATCTTTCCTAATATTTCATTTTGTGGTATTTTTCAGTGGCTTTTGAAATGAATGATTTAAAGATTAAAGAGAATATTTTAGCTGTTTAACCAGATTCATTCTTTTTAGATGGTTTATCAATAAATATATATGATTCAACAAAATTTCTTTTTATTTCTAGAAATAGAAGCCTGTAATTCTTATTAAAATAATAATGTTTAAGGCTGATCTTTCCTTACCAATAATCAATTTTCGCATCAGTCCTTGAGGAGGATAAAGTCAGCATGTAGGATAAGAAATCATACTTGCAGATTGCTATCAAGCATTTAGGAAATGCAGAAAAGATGTTGGAGAAAAAGTTCTGGTGAAATGAGATGAAGATATAATTATTAGACCTACATGCAAAATGCTGTGTGCTGGTAAAACTAACCCCAAACATTGACCTCAAAACATCACAATGAATCATGGTGGTGGTACTACAGCATTTACACATGGTTTTCAACAGTTTGTTAAATCAAGAAGTTGTTGAAAGGCATGTCTAAGTTTCCTTTCTTATCAGAGCAGAAGAGAGAGACATTGCTCTACAGCATTAAATACATTAAAGTTTGGGATTGTTATACAGTGTGATAGATGGTTCAAAGGATAACAGCATCTTTCCCAGGCACTGTATTGTTGGATTTGGTATGTTGATCAATTCAAGCTGTAACTTTTTATGTGCAGGCTGAACTTGATGATCTATAGCAACTTATAAGAAGGGGTTTAACTTTCTCAAACATGTGTTTTACCTTTCTGAAAAAGCAGGGCACCCAAATTAAAATAAGTTATTTGCACAACAATGGCTTGACTTTGGGCTCTAAGCTTTGTGTTTAACATCAAATTTTTGGCTACATTAGTTTTGTTGTGGTCTTTTAATCACTTTAAAATGTAATCTGGAGTTTTTTTATTTCATTTCAGAGTAAGCAGAGGTCTTTGATCCTTGAATGTTTCCTTTGTCTAATTTGGTAAACCCAGAAGGTTTAGATATAGGCTTAATAAAGTTGGGGTCAAAATTCATCTTTAGCATTTAAATTTCCCCTCACTATGATATTACATCCTGTATTACCCCCTTCCAAAACCACTTATGGATCCCTATACCAAGTTACTTGCCTGAAAAATGCTTCCCCTCATTTAAAACTTACACTTTATGTTTTGTAAAGAAGTGAATAAATGGAAACATTGAGGCTTATTATAGTGTTCCATTTAGCATAAAAGGGCTTGTTAAAAGAAACCTTGGCAACATCAGTGACCTGCCATCCCAGGTCCTTTGTCTCTCATTTGGGTAAAACTTGCTTAAAAATCATTTTTATTTTAAAAACATAAACATAGAACTTAGGGTCATGTTACGAATGGAAAAAAAAGAACAGAATAGAAGTATTTTTTATTGTCAATGGCAAAGACAATGACAATGAACACATGCAGGTAAACACATACCTAAAAAAATATTAAAAAGGACAAAAGTTGTAAAGGTTCAAAGGAAGAAAAATTATATCTCAAAAAGAAAACTACTGTACCATAAAAAAATATATATACATTGGATATGTCTGTAAAAATTCATTTTATATATTTTTTTCTTTAACTAAATAGATGTTTTCATATATATGTGGCAATAAAATACATATATAATTCAAATATAATAACATATAATAAATAATTAATCAAATTTATTCCAGATCCTCAAAATGGATAATAAAAACATCATAGGTAGAAGAACATTTTAATTTTACATACATTTCATGTTAGAAGTTTTAAAAGCCTGAACTATTGCCAATTGGAAATACTAAGCTGTCATGTTATCTTCTTTTTGGGTGCAAATACATTAGAAAAATCGATTAACGAAGGACATAGAGATATCAAATAGAAGGACAAATAAGGTGGGGCATTGTCCATTTTACTACCAAGGTTGTGTGTGAGAGTGCATCTGTAACATAAAGTAGTGTGTCAGCATCAATGTAAGCATGTGATGACTGTGTATTGAGCTGATGGCTGAAGATATCACTCCCAGATACTTTAGTCATAAAAGTGTATCTGGGAGCCCTCCAGCTGTGCTAGCCCTGACGGTGCCTGATGTTATCACAGTTAAACAGTCGCTGCTCTATAACAGGAGGAAAGAGTACAGAGACATTCCTGTTTTCCTGCTGGTGTCAGATCTGGGGCGTTACGGCAGACCTCTGTCATTAGGTCACAGTTTCAGAGTGCTCAGCATGATTGAGAAAACTTAGGGGCAGATTGCTGGTGGAATTGTTGTACATTCCCTCATCAGGTTTTCACTCGCCCTCAAAATGTGATAAAGGCACCATGAAACCTGAAATTTTCATGGGTCCCGAATCTCGTCTCAATTTGTATGGAAGTTGTAAAGCAAGACCTGAAAAAGTTCAAATTTATTTATTATTTGTAAAAATAATCAGTATTTTTAAAGAAACATTATGTAAGTTTATACAGAAAAATATCTTTAAAATAGCCTTTTTATTTGACTCTTTATGACTAAAACATAATTTGCTAAGTTGTTTGACACATCAGTAATTCAGCGTAGATGCATCAAAAAGTTCGTTGGCTATTCTTCCTTAATTAACCGTGGATGGGAATGTGATGTCCAGCATGTCCATGTTAAATGGGTCCAACCTAGCAAACAATCGAATCATTTAATTCAAGATCAATTTTCTGGATACTAAGAAGCATCCAACTCAATTGAGACACCAGTATCAACTCCGGGTAAGGGGAAAAAAAGCACAAAAAAAACCTTCTCAAATAGGGGCGCAAGCTACAAGTATGAACAGAAGAGTGCTCCAGTTTTGTCATGATCTTGGCACCGATGACTGGCTTAATTACTCATTCCGTTCACTTGTCTAACTCTGCCCAATTGTTCATTACCTCTCATCTGATCCACCTGCTCCTTTCCTTGTTTAAGGTACTTGAATCCAGTCATCGGGGCAAATTATTTCTTGTTCTCTCCAGCAAGTGTTGAGAGTCCCTTGGTGTTTCTGATTTCCTGATCCTGACCTGTTCTGTCTCTCAACCACTGAACCTGCCTGTTCCCGTCTGAACGGTTTGCTTGAACTGTCTTTGGACTCCTGGACCTCTGAGTCTGCCTGTTCTTGTTCTGATCTGTTTGCCTGACCTTGCTTCGGACTGCTGCTTGTTCTCCGGGGCTGCAGAATCTGGGACACTCTGGGCGGCGCCGATTGCATCTTGTTAGCAGCCTATCGGATGGATTCTACCTCGTCCTCTGGCTATGGATGAACTAGTAAACCAGGTTAGGGACTCACGTACATAATCTTCCACCATTAGATTTACATGGTTACTAACCTGTGTTTCTCTCCTACAGAGTTTCCAGCCTCAGACACCCTAGCCAATGCTACTCAGATCCATAATTTTTAAATAAATGCTTTTGAGTAATTCCACTGTCTGTCTTGCCTTGAATACTGGTTCCTCTGTTCTGGGTCCTGGCAAGTTTTGTGTTTTTGGCACAGGTGTTAGTAACATTACAAAATTCTGTAATGCCTCTTGATTGTCATATGAAATATATATGCTATACTTTTTGACATGGTTTTACGATGTTTGGCCCACATGAAGACACAGATGGGGAAACAAGGAGCAGTTTAAGATGTTTAATAGACAACACACAAATAAGAGCGGTTCAGAATGGGAGCTGCAGGCGAGGTTTGGAACGTCAGTGTTCGGGGTTCTGCTTGAGGAAAGAGAAGACTGATTCAGACTAGAAAAAGCTAAAGAAACCTGCGTTGTTGCTGCTCCGCTTGCCGCCAGGTACAGGTAACCTATCCGTGGAGGGTGAGTGGAGGAATGGGTTCTGTAACTCGAGCAGCACCGCAGCGGAGGCAGGTTCGAGGAGCAGCTGAAGGAACCAGTGTGAAATCCAGGAAAGGGGTCTTATGTCTGACTGGATAGAACCTAGGGCCTTGAGGGGAACGCCAGAGCAGAATCTGAGCAGCAGCGATTCAGAGACCAGTCTTCAGAGCACGGAGACAGGAGGGTGAGCAATCCAGAGCTCAACGAGCGAAGAAGACAGAAGACAGGTTAGAATCAGGGATCCAGAGGATCAGGTTACAGAGATCTGTCGACAGGACAGAAGCCTAGGCGTACCACAACGGTTTAACACTCTGCCGTCCTTCAGCTAATTAAAAACTTCTCTTAAGCTCAGCAGAGCAGCCTCAACGAGCCGCAGGTGTGGGGCCACGCTCACCTGTCAACAACAACCACCTGTGGAAAAGAATAAGCAGAGTACAGAACACCGAACCCTGACACTTTTATTTTTTGTCTGTACACTTTTCAGTTTTAAATGTGTCTTTAACATTCATCAAATTATGGCAAATGTATTTGTAAGTTTACTTTTCACCAATAGAAACTGCTCTTAAATTAGATTAAATACCTCGTTTAAGATCATGACATTTCTTCCTATGCTTAATAATGTAAGAAAAACAGATAAGTAATACAGAGCAGCTGTCTCGCTTTTAAAAATGTCTGACAAGGCACATGAAGGCTTAATGAGTGTTTATGAATAGGCAGCTTACTAACTTTTAGTATCCTACAGAATCCCTAAGAAAATTAAATCATTCTGATAACATTAAATTATTTTTATAGTGAATTTGCTGTTACGTGGTCCTCCTACACTTGCTGATTTACTAGGTCAAACCCTGTCTCAAATACCCTTATTCTTCCCAAATTAAGAGCATAATGACTGACCTTTGCTACAAGTAAACTACTGACTACACTAGAGTATTTCACACAACTCCTCTACAAAAATAGAAAACCCTTTTGCAGATGCAGTGTCATGTTGGTGTTCTGTAGGACCTATGTGAAGTCAACAGCTACGGACAACTCAGGATTGTTTAAATGACTTAATGACCAAAATGGGTAAGTGAATGCTTCTTAAGGGATCTATAAAGGGACCCGAGAAGGCACTGATAAGGAGGGTTAAGATTTTTTAAGTGTTTAAGTATTATTTTTTTTTAAACAGTGTCCTGTTTGGTGATGTGGCAATAAGAATAATTGTTTTGATGCCAAAAAGAGAGCCCGACAGATTTTACTTTTACAAGTAGAGCAGTACGGCTGTCACCATAGTGTTCCGCTTTATTATAATTCATGCACGGAGTATTACAGATTTTATGGACACTGCTATGTAAGTAGAAGAGGAAAGGAAAAACTTTCAAAGACTTTCAGCAGAATATGATAATTCAGGTGCATAATGCAAAAATCCCAGTTAAGGATTACATTCTCCCCATAAAAATTACCACATTCCATGAATGTGCTTATTTTTCAAATTTTTTTATCAATTTTTTCCCCCAGCTATTGTTGATTATTGTTATTACACTGTCATAAGTACAGAGCAACAAAATTAACTCTCTGCATTTAAACCATCCCCTCAGGGAGCAGTGGGCTGCCATTGTGTGGCACATTGGGAAAAGTGTGGAGGTTAAGGGTCTTGCTCAGGCACCCAGAGTGGCAGTCTGTGGCAGTAGGGCTTGAACTTGAAATCTGAGGATTCCGGGCGCAATGCCCTAACCACTTAGCCTGACGCAGGTTAACCGACGCATAGTTGTTGTCAACAAAAATCAAAGCGTGCAGTTGCACGCCTAGAATAAGAAGATGAGCCTTGATCGCGTTTCTCTGTTCCTCTTTTAAAATTAATTTGCTGTCGATATCTTCTAGAACAGACCTAATAGCAGAATCTACTCACCTCAACTCTCCGGCGGCAGCCATTGTTGTTGTCACCCAAGCGCGCTTTGGTCACGTGGTTGATCACGTTACTGTTGATCATCTGTCCATCATCGTATAAAGCCCGCCCTGACAATTTGATTGGATCGCCAGAGAGTGGGCGATAATACTCAGGCTACTATGGAGCAATGACAGACCGAACTTCCCGACCTCAAACCTTGTGGACGGGACTAAGTTCGGAATGGCACCCGGGCTACTAACCACTGGGCACCACTCCCCAATTTGATCACGTTTTGAAGCACGTATGAAGCACTGTCCTTCAAGCCGTCTTCTGTACATGAGTTGGGGCACCTTCATACTTTTATTCTTTTCCTTTTGTTTCAATTTGGTTTTTTTGGATCGCTATAATGTCCTTCTAAACTAGCATATTAAAACATCTCTAAAGGGCAGATTACCTGATCATAGGAATCTTCCCTAAATGCAACTGGAACTGGATTTGAAATCTGCAACATACTATAGATGCACTTTAGAATATTATAGATGCGCCGCGAAATATAGTCTTTATATAGACCTGCTTTATTCTGAGACTATTTTTGAGACCACGAATGGTTAGCAGAACTTTAAAGCTAACTGATTTTCTTATATTTATATTTACTATTTTGGTTGCAATTTTACACATTCAGTATGGTGTTGGTTAAAAAAGAGCACACATAATCTGTAATATAGTAATTATAAATAAGTGTAATTCTAAGCTTCATGGTGTCTCCATTAAACCCAACAGAGTGTGGTGGAAAAATATTCAGAAACACAGTTGACAACTCCAGAAGTGAAGCTGATCTGACAGGTTTTGTCTTCATCATTCCCTTTTCTTTAGTTTGTCTCCCAGCGCTTTTGTCTGTGACCAGTAGCATGTAGCAGAACATAGTCCCGAAGTCAAAGGTCTCACAATAGAGGCAACAAATTGTCCGAGGGGGTACTGGCACCTTAAGGGCCTCCGTATGCAAGCAATTGTCTCTGGCCTGGATTAGTTTTTGGTATCTAGTTACAAACTTTTATTCCCGTGGAGTCAAGTTCAGCATGGCAATGAGCCCCTGCAGTGTTGCCGAGAGCCCAGTGATTTATGTGTTGCTGAGTGAGAGCAGCAGGTTCAAGTCAGAGGTCCCTGGGCAGGGTAACGTTCAATATAAGTTTGTCTGCGTGTTTGGATGGGCATATGAGAAAGCATGTAGTAGTCACTTCTCTTTGAACACATAAATGTGTGTTTGTTAGTCCGAAAATCTGCAGCAAGGACCAGACTCAGGCTCTCGGCAGGAAGCCTTGGTCTGTTTGGCTTGGAAAAGGTCCATTTGTTTGACTGTGAACATGCCTTTAGAGTTTTTAGTAATGTAAAACAATGACTCACTCTGCAAGGAGGTAGGGACATTTGAGTATGATCTGAGCTGATTAGTCAAGTGGAGATGGTGAAGGATTGATGAATGAGTTCTGATGACAAAATAACTTTGGGAAACATGTAAAAAAAATATTTCATATTAGTACATTTGTTTTGGCAGTTTAAAAGCAACCAACTGGACAACTTCCAAATATCATTAATCAAACTGGTTTGGCTATCATTTGACATATCCACGCAAAGGTGGAAAAATATCATAGATGCCCTTAAGGGCTGGTTATACTCCTGCAGCCAGTACTGGAGTTGAGGGGGAATGGCACCCCATTCTTAAAAAAAATCTTCTTAAATGACCATCCCCCCATACCATCCCCTGTGACATTTTATCACTGAATGTGTAAAATTTCTACAATATATTAACAGTAATGGCAATTATATTGCCCTTTCATCATTTGGCTGGCTGTGGGCTTAATAGTAGCCTGAGCAAAATAAAGAGAATCAAAGAAGTGGCCTACCATGACTATGAAGCTGATCCCAGTGGGAAATGTGTCCTCTGCATTTGTAGGGGCAGTGATAGCCATGCCAGTCCAGGGACTGACTGCATTTCTACTGTAATGTGCCTTGGTCAAGGTCATTGACCGGTGTACCTGACATATAAAAACCTTACCATGCATATTGCTTTAGGTTAATAGACTGTATTAAATAGGCTATGTATGCCTCCAAAAAAAAAAATTCAACCATCCCTCTTCTTCTTTTTTTTTTACAACTAGACTACTGCCCATAGCAGTATGTCGCAGTGAGCTTGTCGCAGATATGACGCAGATATTTTGGATTTATGCCCAATTTTGAAGTGTGGTCTGCGCTATGTTATTTCACGCCACAGCGCAAGTGGGACAATCACAAACTAGCTGTGGGTCTAGATACAGCCAAGGCAGCGAGCCATGAGGGCGAAAAAGAGAGGGGATCCAGGTGGAAAAAGGGTCCCAGCATTCTCACGCACCTCTTTCTTCTAGCTGGTCCAACTTCATGGGTCGTTTTCCACAGTGGAGATCATACAAACAAAACAAGCCGGTAAGGTACAAAACAGGAAATATGCATAGTGTAGAGCAGATTTAGATTTGACTAATCAGAGGCCTCCTGTCTGCAGCACTGTCTGAGGTCACCAACAATTTTGGAGAGGTGCCCCAGAGTGTCTGCGGAAGGGGCATATCTGCGTTAACTATGACACACACGCAGACAACCTAGTTTGTGAGTATAAACCAGCCGTTAAAGAGATATAATTACTCAGGCACATTAATGACACCAAATTTGTCCTGTTCAGAACCCCTGCATGTTTTTTCCTTAAAGCTTTATTTTGTCTTCTTGACCAAGTGCCTTCATCAATATGCACTACATTGTTTTTTAGAGCTATACTATTATTTTAAAAATGTCAGATGTTTTGGAGATTACAATGACACATTTATGTGTTTTATGGGGATTTTCTCTGACAGTGCACCACAGTAATTCATAAATGATATGAAGTGGTAGGAAAGGGATACATGGTCTTCAATTTTTATTTTCAGAAATAAATGCATATATTCAGCTCTGCTTCACTCTGAAACCCCTACATAAAGTCCTTCTCAACCAGTCAGGCTCTTCAGAGTTTAAGTTGTAGGGAAGTTTAAAGCAGAATTACATCAGAAAACAGGTTGTGGGTTAAATTACAACTTTGCTCCCATATCTAGTCCTTCAGTTGTGAGTGTTTTTGAGAACTAGAAACTTTTCATCTTGGTCCCAAGAATAAAGCTCTTAGTGTGATTAGAAATCCTACTTTATTTATGCTTATCTTTAGTCGAAATTTCATGCAGAATTTGATGTTGCCCATTTCAAACATTTGACTCTGGCCGCTGATGTCTCAAATTCCACCTTTCTATGGAGCTAACAATTACACTTACCACGCTGGGAAAAAAAATACAAATGTATGAACATGAAGGGTTCCCAAATGTAATATGCAGCAGCAGAAAAATATTTAACTGGCCTTTGTGTTAGAATCAGTTAGAAATTTCAGAGTAAATAAAGAGAATTCAGAGAATCTAAAACCATACAGCTATTGGGGATATTGCATAATATGCATCTCCTATCAGCATGTTTTTATTAGATTTGAAGAAGAAATTTTTCTTCTACCAGATTCTGTAACCGCTAAAAATGAAGCTAAAATGAAAATGGCATGGTTTAAATCAAAGCATATTCCAGTTAAAGACCAAAACTACAATCATTTTACCACCTATGGCAAGACTTGAAAATGACTCGCTCTCCATCTAATCTGAGCTTTAACAATTTTATAGAGGACTGGAAAAGAAAATCTGTCTCTAGATGTAGAAAGCTGTTAGACACAAATTTGAACCAACTGGAAGCTTTACTTACAATTAAATCTGAAATATGTGTAAAAATAATTGACTCAATGAGACTGAACATAACTGTTGTTATTCTGACATGAATTAACACATAGGTTAAAGTAACAATTAGCTAACATCTCAAACTATTTGGTTACAAACAATTAGGGATATCAGGGCAAAGGAGGCAGTAAAGAAATGCATGCCACACTTTTTGTTAGTTTTTCACATAAGGTCCCAATAAACTGCATTGAAATTAGTGGTTGTAATATTGTAAAATTTAAAAAACTTTAATAATTGCACATTGGACATTCAAATAATATTAATAATTTTTCCTTATTTTCCCCTAAACTTACAAAAATAAGAGTTTAATAGTTTAACTAAAATGAGACAGAAAAACAAGCTGTTCTAAACATACCAAGAATCAATGAAGGTATGGTTAACACAGTCTGTGTTCATGCACCCTAGATCAACCCCTAGTGGTATCTATGTTCCTTTGAAATATGAATACCTAAAAATTGAGCCATATTTATTCTCGATGGTCCATTTTTGGATCCCACAGATATTTTGAAAATGGCGCATCTGTCCCATGGCCTGGTCAGCCATCTGGATAAGATGGGCCAAGGAAAAGATGTTAATGCACTTCATGATGAGAAAGGAGGATGACACCTTTGACCTTCTCTAGCCTTTGACCTCAACCGCCAATAAGGAGCCACTGATGCTATGGGTTTCCTATAGTGAGCATATGCTGGCCATGCCAATTCCCTAAAAGAAATTCTTCGTTTCAACACACTTTTTATTTTAGCCAAACAATCTGCAATAAACAGCCAAGCAGTAATAACATAGAAATTGTATTTGCTCACTTATATGATTAAAGAAAGAGAAAGTTAGATTCTTAGTGAACAGTTTGCTGTACCTTCCCACCATTGCAATCAAACGCTTGATGATAACTCTTTGTAGATTGTAGCTCTTCTTGCCTTTTTATTATTTTTTAAACTCAGAGCAGATCTTTAGCATGTATTTATTATCCTTGCAGAATTTTCCTTTCCATTTCAATTGGTGAATTTTGAGAGCTGTGAAACAGGATCATGTCCTTAATCATTGGCAGCATTTCCAGGAATCACCGCTAGAGTGATAGAAAGAAAATCCCCTCTGTACACTGTGTGCTTTCCCTTTGACAGCTGTGACAGTTTCAGTAGTCAGTGCATTGACATTTATATAGTGTTTCCCTTGGGGTAGAGCTCATGAGCTCAAGGTGGTGTTTGGGAGAAATATGAACATGGAGAGTTTATCCGTTTACATGTGTAGCTATGCTCTCATCAAACGTGGTATTTTGGCAATGATAGATCTTTGTTCCAAATTAAACATTAGCACAGATCACCTGTGTTGTCATGGGCAGAAATATTAACTATTTTGATGTGTACTGAACTGCGAAAGAGTGTATGCTCCCTTAAATATTTTGCCTGCTTTGAAATTCTTGAATGTTTTAGATCATTTAACAAATGTAAACATTTGGCAAGCATTACCAGAGTAAAGATGCACACATTTACAGCTTTAAAATTATTATTTGTTTGGAAAAAAGAGTTAAAATAAAATAAACAACAACTGAAGCATTGGTTAAAAAGGTAACTGCTGTTTTTGCAAAATATTGATTCAATTGTGATGAGCTGATTTCAGTTTTACAAGACACACCCAGTACTGAAACCAGTTGAATACCAAAACTATTTAACAACATGTAAAAGGCTTATGTGAGAATAACACAACTTTCAGGAACTTGTGCTTCCTGACCCCAGGCTCACACAGACTCCGATCTTACCGTTGCGGTGCGGTGTGTGCGGCGCCGCAAGGATTCCAAGTCATTAAAAAGACGTAAACCTCTCTCACCGGCTGCTGAGCTGTCCTGCTGCGGTTACCGAGACACTCCGGCGCTGCAGAAAATTCCGCAAGAAAGCTATCCTTGCGGCGTGCCGGAGCCCTCCGCAACAAGCTCTCGCAAAAATCCTTTATTTGGGCCGTGTTATCGCGTGAAGTTACGTGAACTCAAGTGAACTTCTGTTAAATCTCCGGACCTGTTGCCGGAGCCGCAGAGCCGCACCGCACCGTAGTCAAAAGGGCGGTGTGAGAGGGGGTGTGCGGGAGTTGCGGTCTCCGTCGGCTCGGTAACTGCACCGGAGCCAGTGTGAGCAAGGGGTGATATTCCATCACATAAGAGCCTGCAGAAAAAAACAAAATAGAAATTAGTTCTTTGAACTAACAGAGCTATAAATTCTCCTCTTAAACAGAAAATCCAGAAGGAGAATGTACATAAGCGGACAAGCAATTCTTGGACCAGCACATCTTTTAAAGTTTTGAAGTGGACCAGTTAAAGCCTGGATGTTAATCCAATTGAGATTCTGTAACATGACCTTAAATATGCTGGCCATGCCCAAAAGCCCACCAATGAGGCCAAATAAAAGATCACAAAAATGAAGAGTACACGAAAATTCCTCTGGGGTTATTTCCATGTAAAATGTATTTGATGACCTGAACAATAGGTGGGCTTAATAAACAAATTAAGAAGATTATGGGTTCGAATCCTGCTCTTGGCAGGGACCCTGTGTGGTTTGCATGTTTTCCCCATGTGTGCGTAAGTTTCCTCTAGATGCTCCGGATTCCCCTAACATTTAAAGACCTGCTGGTCTGGCCAGGTCTGCCATAAATGGCAGCGCACCCAGTCACAGTGGCCCAGGCTAACCCCCCGGCATTTGATTTATGAAATTCTTATGTATGTAACCTGTATTTATAATGACAAATAGAGCACCTTTACCTTTCATTTTCCAAGCAAGGATTTAACAACACTGGTTTTATAGATTTTATTTTGACAAATCTTTTCAAAATTTTGTAAATGTTCAAATGCATAATTGCCACTAATATCTAATGGCAACTTATTAGATGGCTCTAGACAGCCGGGGCCCATAGCCAACTGAGCTTGGCTCCTGCACTGAAGACATTATAAAAAAAATCAGTTTCTTATGATGATAATGGTGGACACACAAACAAATTTCATATTTTTCCTTCAGCAGTTTTACTTTAACAGTTATTTTAGGTTGAAAGTTTTGAAAAGTAAAAAAAAAACAAAAAAAAAACCTGCAGCTCAAGTACTGCAAGTGGCCCTTTAGCTCTCATAAAAAATGAAACCATGAACTACTACCCTATTGTTGTTTAATTATTTTTCTGTGAACTGATTTGAAAAAAAAAAGAAAAACCCAAAACAGAACCAAAAGAAATAAATAAACCACAGCTGCAACCTGCCTGCTTGTAAATTTGGTCTAGAACCAACAATGATGACAGATAAACCTCAGTAACAGGGTTTTTGTTTCTTTAAAAGGTTTTTGGCATCATTCTAGATAGAAAATTGGCTGCTTATCTTGGCAGCACTAGTAGACTTAATTTAAATTTGGTGTTTTACTGGCATGTGAGCTACTTTTTTAGAAGAGATCATGATAGGTTTAAGGTCGGTGTGCTTGGAAAGTCTAGTCCATAGGGCAGATTTTACTAACTGTAGTCTCTATTTGAACTAGTTGGGCTCCTTGTGTGTACTGAGCTGAATCTTAGCCTCAAATTTTGACCTGGATTGAAGAAATTGCCACATTAGACATAAGTTGGTCTCTTTAATATTCTTCTGATCACAGTTTTATAAGAAACAACAAATTGCATGTTGTTTTTCCTGAATGATAATTAGGTTTTAAACAGAATTTGAAATTGCAAATCATAAAAAGGAGCAAGGAAAAAAAATATTGGTGCTCGCAAATTGCGAAAAGAAAAACTAAATAGCACTGTTGTTAAACTAGGTCCGGTATCATATTTTAAAAGTTTATCGATCATATAATCTTCAGACAAAAATAGACTGCTTGAGTTTCATGTGAGTTATATTATGTTGCTTGACATATTTTGACAGATGCGTAAGGAGGAAGTCTGAGTCAACGAAGAACAGAAGTGTCTTCATTTCATTCACACATCCAGTCCCAGAACTGATACCTGGCTGTCCAGTTTCTACTTTCAGTCATCCGGTCAGTCCTCTGTGCTAAACATTGACCTTGTGACCTCTGCTCATGACCCCTGACCTGTGATGTTGACCCCTCGTACACAAGGATAGGTTTCATGTATATCTCAACCAGCCGTCTCCATTGACTACCTGCCAGGCACCTGCTCTGAGAAATGAAGCCAAGGCGAATGCCTCTCTGGGGAGCTTGTGACTCAGTAGACAACAAGGCCTGGCCTCAGCCCTGCATTTGAATAGGCTTTGAGTGGTCCTAGTAAACCAATCTCCCTAATTATCTATTGAAAGGACATTTTTTTTCCTTGCCTAGTCATTACCTGATTTCAATTGCTGAAAAGTAACATGGAGAAACTAAAAAAGTGGGGAGGGAGAGGATGTGGGAATAAATACATGAGTCAATACATGGGCACACACTTTTGCACACGCAGAAAGGCTCTGCATCATCCTGATTTCATTAAGGTTAATTGTGGGTTTTACATGTAAATCCACGATGTAGGAGCAGATCAAGGCTATTAGGAAGAATAAAGCATGAATAAATGGCCTTTAGCTGTATTTTGTTGCATTGGAATTGCGGTTAAGGCAGGTTGCTGTCTAAAATGTTTGGTTTGCCCAAATCATAATTATTGTCAAGAAACTAAAGTAGCCTAAGTGTGAATATGAAGAAGTATTTTCACTGAGACACATTTTAAATAGTAAGTGGTTGCATATGATCAAATCTTGTTGCTTTTCTTTTTAATGGACTGCAACTGGAATTAATATTGATTTTAAAACAATAAAAAAGAATGTGAAGTAAATATGCAAAGAGTAGCTGTTTTCTCCTCTGCTTACTTCATTTTTTTGTACAATAATGAGGCTATTGTATGATGCATTTAATATCCTTGAAAGATGCATTAATGTTTATCTTGGGCTTCATGGTGTCATATAAAATATTCTGCAAAAGTATTCATATTACCGGTAATAAAATCGTTTTTACAATTTGTCACATAAAATGTTCTAAAGTTTATAGGTGACAGAACACAAAGTATAACATTATTCAGGGTAACAGGAATTGGATGCATTTTTTCTTTATTTCATATAATAATATCTGAAGAATGGGACAGCATTTGTATTTTGCATTCTTACGTATGATAACTCGAGAGGAAATCCAGTGGGATCAACTAATTGTTTATTTCTCCAAAATAACAGAGTCCATTTAATCTCAGTTGCAGTCTAGGTGTTCTGCGAATGATCCATATATTTTTTGTAAAAATTTGTAAGAAAGCACTATATACACATAGGTCCCTAGTAACTCTGAAAGCACTCTTAAACTCCACAATTTAGGTGTGGAAAAGTGTGCTTCTCTTATTTGTGGCAAAGGGATTTTTCCCCTCAATGGTCCTTCCATGACCTACTTTTCTTTTTGCAATACATTGGGACAGTGGAAGGAGTTAGTGGAGGTAAATCCAGCTGTTTAGAGTGTATACCACTGTAAATTATAAAGTGGCTCCTTCTCTGTCAGGGAGGGGTGGGGTGGTGGTTTAAAAAGACAAAGTCAACTTTCCCAAGATTTATGATATTTGATCTTTCATATGAAACTTCAACTTTTGTTAATGTTACTTCACTATATTAGCACTTTTGGGGCTACCAACTGGTGGAACAAAACTAAAAATATATTTTTTGTACTTGCAAGTTTGCACTCTTTATTTGAAATCTTTGAAGATTGGGCGCTGTGTATGACTAACTATATATGCAACAAACTCTGAAAACATTCCCATAAAAAAATATGGTGCTGGTACTGTAGCATCACACTCTGGGATATCACTGAGAGAAAATTTAACAGGGAAGAAGAAACACACCAGAGCTAATCTAAAGATGAAGCTAATTGTCAGGATAATTATCATTGATTATATGTAAGTTTATTTCACCTTAACATTACCTGCTTGTTGCGTGTCAGAACTGATGTTTTCCCTAGTAGTTTATCTATTTAAGACAGTTCCTCATTCCGGATATACAGTTATCATCTTCATTTCTTTAAGTGGCAAAAATTTGGGAAAGGAATGAAAGCAGTGTCATTCAGCTTAGAACAAAGTGTAATAATTTGATATGGCTGGAGCAATGGATGTCTCATCATCTGCAAATGTGTATGATGAAGATGTGATAATTTAACATACTGGAGACGTCTAAAATGCTTCTCTGTTTGTTTGGGCCACTTCCCGAGAAGTGAGCCTGGTTGGTAAGCAGCTGCCTTCTGTAACCCAAAGCAACTTCCTTGATCTGAATAAGATTACAATCTCTATCAAAATCTGTTGTCATGTCTCATGGTTATTTAATACATATACGTTAAGAAGTGTTATTTAAAGAGTTTGTCGAGAGTGATCTCTTTTCAGGAAAACAAACTGGAGAGAGAAAGCTTCAAGGTGTAGAAACAGAGCTTTCCTTTAACATAATACATGACAATCGTGGGTGAGATCCTGTTGGAAACAGGAAGAGATTTAAGACAAGAACAAGGGGCAAGAACTTCCTCTGCTCCTCTACACAATATATATATTAACATTTCTGTTTGTAAATTGGCAAAAAGAAAACAACACAACAAAACAACAAAGAAAGTTTAAGCTGTATGAAGAGATTTTAACCTAGACAAAACACTCATCTTGAAAATCACAAAGATGAACTGTTGATGCTTTATACAGTTTTGTACTGTGTGTGTGCATGAGTAGTTTGCAGATTTACCACATGAGCTTGAATGAAAGATTTATCTTGAACCTAAGGTATACTTTTTTGGTTAACAGCACTTTCATTAGCTTTTCTGATCAGCAAAACATGTCACTTGAATAACAAAACTTTTTTCAGTGAAATAAGGTTTACCTAAAGTTCTTAAAAAAAAAAAAAAACGAATATTGTTCCTGAGTTTCCGCCGCCCTAATTAAAGCTATCTGCATGCTGTACTGCTGGGTCAAGAGCGTAGAGGGACTCGCTCAAGAGTGTGCTCTCTGGGGCTCTAGGGCCGTTCTCAGAAAGCTCTTAGGGCTTGCATGCAATTGCCGTGTGGTAAATGAGATAAGAGAGGACAGAGCTATCCTTTGAAACTAAATATAAATTGTAACAAGCACAGTTTGGATAGCTTAGTTTTTGTCTCTAATTTAGTCCTTTGAATTCTTAAAACATCAATAGTTAAACTTACTGCTTTTTTTCTTTTAAAACAAATTAAAAAAGAAACACCGTTGTGTATATTTTCTTATAGTTACAATTATAGGAGCACATAAAATATCAAATATATTGCAGAGTTAGTTTTTCTTTCCCTGATCCATACATTTTCTACTGTGACAGAAAAGAAAAAGTTTCAAACAATAAAGGTATAAGCTTGATAATTGATAAAAAGTTATGTGTGCTCTAAGTGCAGCAGTGGAAGGGGCTTTATTATTCCAGTCTTTGAACTTCTCTGAATGACCGTCTATCTTAAGTTCTTTAATCTCCTCCAGGCCGTCTGCTTCCACAGCAGCGCCTCTAAATCTTCTCCCACCTTTGGACTCTGACTGGAACTTTAACTGTCTCAACTCTCTGATCTCAGAGTGTGCGCACATGTATACACATACACACAAACAAGTCTGCTTAGATTTTACCTTCCCACAATATTCTACTTCATGAAACAGCTATAGTCTAGACCTTCTAGAGAAAGAATTGTATTAAAAATTATAATAAAAGCAGTTCTTATTCAGCCGCTGTCAAAAATTTAGAAACTTCTGTTGAAATGCTACATTTAATGCCATAAAAGATTTACTTTTATTAATTCTTTAATCATTTCTATCTCTTCAAATTTTGAAAAAAGTCAAAATTTTAAGGGGAACATTTTTAATATTCAATCAAAATATCTAGAATAACACAGTAAATAAATAACAATAAATAAACACACAAACTGAAACTCTAACCAGTTTTTTAATTAATTATTCTTAATTATTATGCAACTGATAAGCTAAATACAGTCTAAGATTCAACAGTTGTAAGATTTTCTTTACATCTGCTGATTCGTATGATTTAACCAAAGCCTAATTTAAAATGTAACATAATGTATTTGTACAAGTATGCAAAACTATTAAAACCTTATGTAAGCCAAGTGAAAAGTGCAATCAATAATTTGAGGAAATAATGGACATCAGTTTATATAAAATTAAAAAAGATAAGAAACCTTACAGAGTAGCATGTAGTGACAATAAGGGAAATGCAGGAATGTGTTTCAAGTACTGGTTGGGTCATATAAATATCACCGTCATCTGTTAGGTATGAAGTTAACTTTTGTTCCTGTGTGCTGTGGTGTGATGACACCAAACATGTGATTTTTGGATAGGAGAACATCATATCATGAAAAATGGTGATGGTAGTATCCTGTTGTGGAGGCATTTTACGACATACATAGATAGCTAGATTATTGTCAAGGTAAGGGAAATTATGAACAGTTAAAAATACTAATCAGATTTAACCTATATTAAACAAAAGCAGACAATGGATACCATAAAGTCAAAATATAAATCCTAAGAGTCTGAAAGATGGAGATTTTCAGTTGGCATACTGATCGATTATCAAGAACAGAATGCCTCAGCTATACCGTTGGTGAAGGAAGTGCACTTATCTTTGTTTTTGTTTTTTTTCTCTATGGAATTGTGTAGAGAAAAGTCACAGTGAAGGTGTAAATTGTTTTTAAATGCTTTATAATTTTCTTGGTTTTTACCATCTAAAAATAAATTTTAAAGAGGATGTGTACATTTTTAAAATGGGCTCAGTTTATCTAGATGTATAATGAGACTAAAGACACATAGATATTGACATTTCTTGAATGTCCTGTAATCATATGCCTCTGTTTCTATAGCTTTGAAAATCCAGTCAGGTGAGGAAAGTAGGATTAATTTACACTGATTTTCACTGTTGTACCTACCCATCTTCTACATAAAAAAGGTCTTACTAGAAGTTTTAACCTAATATTCATATTATTGAGAAAATGAAATCTGTTAACTTCTGGAATACACCGAAAAACACTTT